TGTGTGTGTGTGTGTGTGTGTGTGTGTGTGTGTGTGTGTGTGTGTGTTTTGAGATGGAGTCTTGCTCTGTTGCCAGGCTGGAGTGCAGAGGCGTGATCTAGGCTCACTGCAACATCTGACTCCCTGGTTCAAACAATTCTCTTGCCTCAGCCTCCCAAGTAGCTGGGATTACAGGCACGCACCACCACGCCCTTATTTTTGTATTTTTAGTAGACGTGGTTTTACCGTATTGGCCAGGATGGTCTCAATCTCCTAACCTCATGATCCGCCTGCCTTGGCCTCCCAAAGTGCTGGGATTACAGGCATGAGCCACTGCACTCAGCCCACTATTTACACATTTTCATTGAAAAATCTGTTCATGTGTGCTACCCATTTTCTTACTAAAATTAGTGATTTTCACATAAATTCATATGTATTTCTTATATATTATAGAAATCAACAATTTAACATTTTTTATTTATTTCTCATTACTTTGATATGTGCTACTTTTGCTTTATTAAACCATTTTTTTTTTCGCTTGCCACAAACATCAGTTTATACTCATTCAAATTTGAGCAATGGAATAAGTCTTAGCCCCCAGCTTTGTAACTGTCCCCAGTGAGGTGATCTTTTTCTGATCCTTAATTAATCATAGCACTAGCAAATTTTCTCTGTCCATGGAGATACAGTTTGCTCCACAGCAGCCATCCAGTGTTGTTTAGTTCTGTCTCTGGTGGCCACTCAATAGATGTCCAATTTATGTCATGTAAGAGAGAGTCCATCAAATATTTGAAGAAAACTGTTTGAGGTTTTAAGTTTCAAATCTAAACAATGAAAAAATCATAAAGAGCAACATGATTTAAAATGTTCTGTAGCAACACTTATAAGCTGGGGCATTCTGAGCAAGTCACTTAATTTCACAAGGCCAGTTGCTTTTATTTAAAAATGGAGATAACAACTGCCCTGGCCACTTCAAAGTGAGAATTGAATGTCATTAGTGTCAACATGCAATTTAAATTCTATTTTGTAAATTAGAAGGCTCTGAAATATGTACAAGATGATAATAAAAAATTTGGACTTTTAAATTTAGCAAAAAAAAAATATATATATAACTAAAAAAAACTAAATTCTGACACACATATACAAAAAGTGCCCTGAATTTAGTATAATAATGAGAGTTTGAAAATACTTTAGAAATAAGAAATGCTATTCTACACATTGATATAAAGCTTATGATTAAATTTTAGATAAAATGTTCTTAAACCATGATTATTCTTATTTTCAGGAAGACAAATTCAATGAGGCAACTGAGAAAAGCCTTAAGAAGATACAACAAGAATGTAAACATTCCCAGAATTTGGGGAAGGATGGTTTGAAATACCAGTAGGTTGCTTGAGCAAGTGGGCTAACACTTATTACCAGAATTCAATAATCCTTCAAAGTAAAAAAAAAGTTAGCTCTCAAGTCTTTCAGTTATAGCCAATTCATAAACTTTTGGAGGAATTTTTTTAAATCAAAGAATTAATGAACTGTCACATCAATCTTTTATTAGAAATGAAGCTAAAAATAAAAGAAATACAGGATTCTGGAGATATTGATTCTCCAATGCTTTGGTTTCTGTTTGACATTGGCTTTCTCACTGCCAATCTAGAATCCCTGGATCCTCACCCATTTGAAAATGGGACATTGCATATTTCAGGTTGTTACAGTTTCTTTGGGGAAGAGATGGTTTGCCTTGCTTTGCCTTAAAGGCTATCTTAACTGAGTTAATAGAAATAATTCTGGATTTGCCCAACACTTTAATACTCAGTTTTTTAGTGCTCTGGTGAGCATTTGTGAATAATATTGCAGTTTGTTTCAATTATTATGCCAATGTGTTTTTTTATTATTAATATTATTATTATTACTCTATATTTTTGAGACAAGATCTCTCTGTCACCCAGGCTGGAGTGCAGTGGTGGGATTTCGGCTCACTGCCACCTCTGCCTAACAGGCTCAAGTGATCCTCCCATCACAGCCTCCCAAGTAGCTAGGGCTACTGATGTGAGCCACCATGTTTGCTAATGTTTGTGTTTTATGGTAGAGATGAGGTTTTGCCATCTTGCTCAGGCTAGTCTTGAACTCCTGAGCTCAAGCAATCCATCCCCCCTTTGCCTTCCAAATTGCTGGGATTACAGTAGTGAGCCACTGCACCTGGCCTCATGCTAATGTATTATTTATTGAAACTAAACATCTTCAAATCAAAGTAAAACACAATTAAAAAACACAATAAAAAAACCTTTACTATTTCTGCAATTTGGCTGTTAGCTGACAATTTGAACTAAGCTCATTAAAAATCTTAATTTCCTTCATCTCAGATTATTCTTTTCCAACATATATGGATTAAATTCTTTCTTTAAAATATTTTCTAATGATGCAAAGGATTTTAAGCAGGATTTTAGCCAATGTATTTGCTGTCAAGGAGCTCCTATGCTCAAAGAAAACACAGGGAGGCAAATCTAAGAGCTTCTGATACATCCATGAAATTAGAAAGGAAGCTAAAATAGATATAGGAAGCAAGGTGCAGAAAAACAGGAAGTAAAGACATATTTCTCTATTTTATAAGAGAGCTAAGGTTCATGTTGCATTTATATTGGTTGTCCCTAGCCTTGAAGGGTCTGGACTTCAGCAGTAATTCAAGGGAAAATGGGTATCTGCTTTCGTTCAAAACCAAACAGACAAATGTTCTTTCAGTTACCTTATTAGACTCACAAAGATAGCTCCTCAGCTCTCCACTGAAGAACTGGTCTCTCTTGGAAAGAAAATGGTGACAGTTTTCACTACTTGCTGCACACTAAGTGAAGAGTTTGCCTGTGTTGAAAATTTGGTGAGCGTGGCCTGTGTACCATATTCTTCTTTAAAAGAAAAAATATTTGCACTCATTGATTTACAGTGATTATCCACATTCCTTTCTTTATTGTTTTTAATATTGTTAAGCAAAAATTGTCAAGTTTTCCTTTTGGTTCACTTTGTGAAAACCCTAAGAAGTAAAAGAGAACGTCTTAATTATTTTTGGAGAGTTCTTCAAATTATCTTTCTGATTTTTTTCATTATATTAGAAGGGATTTGTTAGGATAAATGATTTAGGAATCATAATATTGTTTCAAAATGATACAGGAAACTTTATAATTTTAAGTAAGATTACAGATTCTTCCTCTTGCCCCAGTTGCTTCATCCAGCAGTCAGGCATTGAATACATCTCTTTAGGGCTGGGGTGGTGAGTACCCTGAGGGAGATTCCAGGAGGGGAAAAAACCCAAGGACCACAGTGTTTGATTTCAGTTGGCTGTTTGCAGCTGTCTGTTTGCAACTGAAAGCTTGTTTATACATTATGAAGAAATTAATTTGTAAGCATCTAAGATCTAAGTTGCTCTGACTTGGATTTTGGTCACAATGCCATTTAGGACCCTAGCTTCTACTTTTTTTTATACATAGTGATATTTTATGAGTGCATGTGTTTTTTGAGTAAGGTTAACAGTGATCTTAGAATGTTCTAACTATTCATCTAACCATATTTTTAAAAATTCCATTCTTTTAAGATCATATCTGAGTTGTAACTCTTGTTGGTACAGGCAGATTTAGTTCTTGGAGAGTTATGTGGAGTAAATGAAAATCGAACTATCAACCCTGCTGTGGACCACTGTTGTAAATCAAACTTTGCCTTCAGAGGGCCCTGCTTTGAGAGTTTGACAGCTCATAAAACATATGTGCCTCCACCTTTCTCTCAAGATTTATTTACCTTTCACACAGACATGTGTCAATCTCAGAATGAGGAGCTTCAGAAGAAGACAGACAGGTACAAACAATCTCTTCCATTCCTCTTTTTCTTCAGTTTGAAGACATACCACGTATTAGCGAGAAAGTTTATCTAGTGGATGTGTGTTTTTGATATCACAATCCTGTTCCTTCCACCAAATTGTCCAGGCTCTTCTATTTGGAAAAATATTAGTGCATATTTTTTTTGACATTATTTATATCTAGCTTGTCTTTTCATTTGAAAGAGACTTGGAGTGTCCAAGTCTAACATCACCTTTGGAAGGTTACAGCAGCCGGCAGAAAGACTCATAGGCAGGCTGATAATGAATTTCATTTACTTGATAGAATGCCTGGAGAATATCACTTAATGTTTGAAAAGGAGAGGCCCAAAAGGACAGAAAGTTTACTTGTACTTTCTCAACAAATGTCTTAAAATGCCAAGGAATTAGACCTATTTTTTTTTTTTTTTTTTTTGGATTTAGACAGAGTCTGCCTCAAATGTAGTGGAGACAACATTCAGCTACTGAATATGAGGGACTGAAGGTTGTTTTGGACATGAATTTTCTGGAAAGATCAGAGGTAGTCATGTATACCATAATACTTCACATAATAAATGCCTAATATTTGTTTTCATTTTTAAATAGTATACTCTGATTATATGCAATATTCACGGATTCACAGTGCAATACACTCTTGTATTTTCCAGCCCACGCTAGTCTAGTCTTGTCTATTTTAGTATTTTTTTTAAACTATCCTGTTTTCAATTTAAAAATGAAAGTGAGAAAATGCAAACTTTTGTTAATTCTTAGATCTGAGGATTGGCACATGGGCACACAGGACTTATTACATTATCCTTTTTAATCTTGTGCATAAAAATTTTATTACTTAAATAATTACTCTAAAAATGTACTCTAAAATGTGCTTTTAAGACACCAATGGCTTGCCACCTGAAGTTTGGAATTCTAGACGTTACTAGAATATTGGAATTCTAGAAGTTATTAGAAATTAAGGAAATCACTATTGTCTATGAATGTTGTCACACTTAGTTGTCATAGTTTATTTTTTTCAATTGCTTCTTTGACATCACTTTTCAACTGACATAATAATTGTACATATTTTGGGAGTGCATATGATATTTTGAAAACTGCATATAATGTGTAATGATCAAATCAGGGTAATTGGAATATCCATCACCCCAAATATTTCTCTTTTCTTTGTGTTGGGAACATTGCAATTCTTCTCTTCTAGCTATTTGGAAATATACAATAAATTATTTTTAACTGTAATTTCCCCACTATACTTGAATACTAGAACTTATTACTTCTATTTAACTGTATTTTTGTACTCCTTAACCAACTTCTCTTTGTCTCTCTCTTCCTCCTTGTTAATATTTTTTATATAATTTTGTGTGTGACACAACCCTTTAAAGAATGTTACTGTGGAAACCATTCTCTAAATTTAATGGGAAAGTTTCAGTAGACCCATTCAAAGTGGGATATTTCAACTCTTTACTCTCACCCAAGCTGAGACCCAAGACATGTGATTCTGTAACAAGCATTTTGGAGTGGAGATGCTTCAGAAAGAGATTGTTAGTTAATTCTATTTGACATCTTTCGGCTACAGGTTTCTTGTCAACATAGTGAAGCTGAAGTATGAAGTCGCAAATGAGGAGCTGCAGTCTTTGTTAACAAATTTCGGAAATGCAGTGGAGAAGTGCTGCAAAGCAGAGGAGGATGAAGAGAAGTTGGTCTGCTTTAATAAAGAGGTAGTTTTATTTCTTTTCAACTGAAATTCAACTGGTATTCCTGGTTAAATAAAATAAAACAGAACCCTGCACGACCCTGCTTCCTCTCTGCAGTGTCTACCAGGACTATATTTGAGAGCACGATTGCTATACAACTAATATGCAGACATTGCTGAAATACACTTTGAGCAGTGTCTCCGTAGTACAGAAAAAGCTATCAGGAAGACTTGGGTTCTAACCCCAGCAGTTTTGTAAGACATGCAACTTAAACTGAATGGCAGTTCACCATCTGTAAATGAGGATGGTAATAATTATCCCTGAATTACATCTTTGGTTCTTATTTTTTGGTTTTGAACCACTCATTATCTTAATAAGACAGAGTCAAAGCAACTTGCAAAGGAAATCATAAGCAGCTCCAAATGAAGTGGAGCAGGAAGGGTATAAAAAAGTGAAGCTTTGTAGGAGTGGCTGCCTCACTTTCCCAGGCCTTGTGCTAACATCCCACAGTAGAGAATAATGAGGGAGTGGAGGGTAAGGGTAGTAGGGGAGAAAAGGGAGAAATGCCCCCTGCTAACTCTCGCTCCAGTGAAGGTAGTTTGTAGCCATTTGGTGTGGTGTGAATCTCAGCAACCTGTGAATGTTAGCCCCAATGGATGGCTCCAGGGAAATGTCTCTTAACTGTTTTCCAACTTCATTTCTCACTGTTTCTTTTCTAGGAACATTCACTCCACTTCAAATTCATAATTCATGTAAACTCACAGGCACAGGCACACGGACTCACACACAGCGTTCATTCTGGTTGTGAGCCCTCTGCTTTTCTGAGTGACACTTAGTATGTGGAAATTTTTGTGGGGTGCACATTGTTAGTTTTAAAAAATATACTTAATTTTAATTAGAGGATATTAATATCTAGCATTTATCTGAGTGACTGTGTACATTAGGACCACGTGAAGAAAAAGATGAATTTTTTGGCAGGTTGTAAAGGGGCTTTGGGTGTCTATTTCAAGTTCACTAGAAATAAGAATGTTTACTGTTTCCCTATACAATTTGGGAATGGTTTGATTTTCTTTAAAATTCAGGGGAGCTTGCCTATCGAAATTTAAATTAGTGTCTTAAATTTTTCTTGCTATATATTTTTATTTTTGTCCCCCACCTCAGAGTCCAAAAATTGTCACCTGAAGCCAGATGCATGAAATATCTAAAGTAAAAAGCTCCAAAGGTAATACCCCTGCCTCAATCTAATGTCAAACATATTTGTGGCTTATTTCATCATCCTGCCTTTTCTCCTTCCTGCTTCATTGTCTATTTCTGGTTCATCCTACATGAACCAGACATGCAGCTAACAGATTCCAATATTGTTTCTGTGTTTTTCTGGGTATCAGCCACTCCTTATAGGGTGGCAATGCTGCATTTGTGCTAGCCCTTCTCTTGCTGTTCAAGTAGTTTTATTTTGTTACTTTTTATTTTGGAAATGAAATATTTTATTGAAAATTTAAATTCCTACTCATATACTGGAATTGTTAGCCAGGGCACAGAACACAGTAACCTATGTTTACCATGTTGGACTTTCAAAGAAGTGTAAAACTTCTGAAAAGCAGAGACTTCAATGACATCTGTTTCATACTTCATGTCATCATGGTTTGTAGAAGTTGGCAGACAGAACAGTCAATTGTGAAATATTAATGCTAACTGCAACTAAACAAATGTATCTTATGAACAACTAATTAAGAAAACTACTTTGTCGTAACAGTATAAAACCCTAACTCATGATGATTACTTAATTACCTTAGAATTACTGTCAACTTAAACAATTACTACCTTGCCTTTGGTCTAAATAGCTCATTACAATTAAAAGAGGAGGTAACAACTAGAAAGGAAATGATATTTATTAAGTGTCATATAATGTGATTGGCTAACAATTCTATCATGACAAAGATCCTGGTGTGATTTCTATCAAGCAGTTTTCTAGATAGCGGAAAGATACTTAAGTTCTCTGCCTTCCTACTAATATATTCAGCTGTCTAGACCACAAAGGAGAGATGATGGAATCTCTGAATGCTAACAGAAAGAAGAGGGGTAAACTCCCTGGGGACTGAGCTGGGCAGACAGGCATCAGTGACCCTTTCCAATCATCTTTTAAGAATATTGTTCTACTGAGATATGATTGACATACAAACCAAGAGTATTGCTATAGCATTTACATAAACAAAAAGCAATATGTTTGTGATTTCAGAAAGACATATAAAGATGTCCTCTCCCTTGTGGTTTATGTAAGACTTGAAATACAAACTTTAGCAACAAAATGTTGCATAGATATAGGAATTATATACAGTGTCAGTGAAGAGAGACCTGAACCTCAAGAGAAGGTAGGTTTGGATCTACAAGAAGCAAAGCACAATTACCCCTAATAGTTTTTTCAAATATATGACTTTCTATCATCCAAGTTATAACATTACCTATTTTTTTGATGCATGAAACACTATTTTTTTCTTTCCAGGGATAACCAACTTACAGGCTTCCTATCTGTGTGGTAATGAATCTCATTTCCTGAGAACAAAGTAAAATAATTTTTCTGTAACTGTCCCCTGAAATCATATATTGCAGCAAACAATAAACACACAATTGTAAAGTTATTTTTCAGACTGATGTTATAAACCAATATGATCACAAAATTAAGCAATCATGATTCATTCATTCCATCAGCATCTTTTGCTCACAAGCCTGCACCATTCCCTACTCCACGAAAAGTTGGAAGTCTGAATAGCAACTGTGTAGGCACAGTGCTCTAAGACGTCCTTGCCACTACCGGGAAGAAAACCGATAATTTTGGGCATGTGCCTTTACTGCTGCAAATACTGCTACTACTTGAATGTTTTCAATGAACCAAACATTGTTCTAGCTACTTTTCATACATTATTTCATTTAATCTAATAACTCTATGAGTAAGTATTGTTTTCATTTTTATTTTACAAACATGAAACCTAAGATTTGGGGAGATAAACTAATGTGTTCAGTGTGATATAACTAGTAATTGGCAGAACCAGAGTTTGAATTTAGGTTCTCTAATTCTAGAACTATATATATGTATATAGCATGTACATTATAATGTATAATAATATATATTATATTATTATAATATATTATAAATATGTATTATTTTATATTATAAAATATACAATATATAGTTCCAGAATTATATAAATATTATATATTTTATCATTTCAACTTTTATTTTAGAGATGGGGTACATGTATAGGTTTGTTACATGTATATATTGCATGATACTGAGGTTTGGAGTATGGATCCCATCACTCAAGTAGCGAGCATAGTATCCAATAGGTAGTTTTTCAACCCACATCCCTCTCTCTCCTTCCCCTCTGTAGTAGTCCCCAGTGTCTATTGTTCCTGTCTTTATGTCCATGTGTACTCAACGTTTAGCTCCCATGCTATTTAGTTTAAAGTTTGAAGTTAGGTAGTGTGATGCCTCCAGCTTCGTGGAACAATATTGTTAACCATTGCATACACTACCTCTTAGGTATGGCCTCCCAAGTAGCTGGGATTACAGGAATGTGCTAATTTTTGTATTCTTAGTAGAGATGGATTTTTGCTATGTTTTTCAGGCTGGTCTTGAACTTAAAAATGCATGCCTGACAAAATCTGTTATTCAGAGAGGTGGAAGATTGTACAAGGCAACAATGGCAATGGTGTTTGTCTCCCTGCATTCCAAGCCAAAATTCCTGTTATGTTAGTGGTATAAATGCTTGACATTGTTATCAAAGGAGCAGTAACTCAAGAAATGAAGACTGGTCATGGACTCATGGCTTGGCTCTCCTGATGGTTCTCTAAATTTTGAAGACATTTTGCATACCAATGTTTAAATTTGAAGTTGATGGCCCCTTAATAGATAATATATGAAGATATTCATAGAGTTCTTTTGGTATATTGTTTAGAGCATCGTCTTTGGGATTCTCATTGATTTATTCGACAAATATTTATTAGAATTCCATTGTGTGTCAGACATTGTGGATATACATATGAGCCAGATAGACTTGATTCCTTTTTCTTGCTGAGCAAGGGAGAGAGACAGGAAACATGCAATTGCATTTCAATGTCATAGGTGCAGGGCCTGTGCTATGGGTGCACATTGTACAGGCACTCACGCTAAGCTGAAGGTGCAGAGTGAGAAGGCGATGGGGACGGGTGCTTCAAATCCCTACTGCCATTAATTTACTGTTCAGTCCAAGATAAGTTCCTTATACTCTATGACACTTATTTCTTTGTGTAGGATGGGCTAATATCAAGCCACAAAAGCTGTAGAGAGATGAATTAAATTACTATAAAAAGTACTTAACACATTGGCCTGCAGATAACAGGTGTTTAACTTATAAAGCTATTTTGTCCTCTAACCATTTTCTCCAAACACTCTCATTTACCGATAAGGATTACAAGGAAGTATTGTTTTCCTTAAACAATAGATGGTAGATTTAGAAAATGGAAGTGAAACAAAAGATAATTAATAAATTTAATTATATACCCAATACTGGATTCTACTATGTATTCAATACTGTGCTCAGAGAAGAAGATACGAAATCAGGGACTCAGGAACTTGCCGCCATCACAAAGTTTCTATCATGGCAGTGGAAACTACCTTACAACTCTTTCTCTACTGCTATGCCAGAAAACACATTAATCAAAGCAGGAACAGAGGGAGAAGAGTGGCTTCTTCCAAAGACATAGTTGCTGGAAGAAGAGGGAATTTGGAGTGGGCATGAATTAGTCTTACTCTGCATTACTTGGACAGAACTCATACCAATGAATAGAACATACCTGGACTTGATGCAGAAAAAACTTTTCTAACACTAGAGATGCTTATACATACGATAAGCCTCCTGGTACAATACTGAATGCCAAGAATGCATGCGCATGAGCAGCTACCTCCTGGGTTTTTGGTGAGATATAGTCACAGTCTTTTTAAGGCCTCTTTGAACTCCGTTTCTATGACTTGGGCAAGAATTAAGTTTTCTATGAAAATAGTATTTATTAAAAATCATCACTGCATCTTGTACTTGCATACCTTCCATATTTTATCTTAAAGGCCAGACTGAAGAGCTTACTTTCTTGTAGAGTCAGTTCTGTGGTGGCGTCTATTGAGTGGTATCACAAAAGCTATCTCATTGCCTTTTCTTAAATAATCCTTGCTATTTGTCTTTCCTGTGGTCTGGAATTCTACCACTAGTTACAAATAAAGGACTTAACATTTTAAATATTGTCAAGAATCTCTTACTAATGGTAAATGTGCAGGTGTCTCTGAAGAAGGGTTCCCATGGAAAGCTAATTTTGGTCAGTTTTTTTTTTTTTAAGAAAAAATTAGTTTAGCACACATAAAAGTTGTTAAAAAATTTTTAGCATTAACTCCAATCAACTGGTAGTGGCTGTCCTGCAGCATTGTGCTGTGTTTCTAAGACTGAGCCTAAGCTCAGAGATAAAGAGTGCAGTGATCAGACAGTGGTGTCTGCAGTGGGTGACAATCTTGGAGCATTCATCCAAAGGATTTGGCAAAAGATTGTATTTAGTTTAATAGGTACATTTCTGATAGTTCTAGGAGGTTTAGAGTAAGATTTCAAGGGAACAGCTCTAAGGATACACGACAAAAGAGATAATTAATGTGAAGACTGTTTAGAGGACCCCAAAATAGATGATGGAGACCTGCCAAAGACAGTCTTCCCTTTGCTGACCTTGGTGGGCTTTCTGTCACCCTGGGTCATTCGTATTCTTTACAATAAGCCAATGTGTCCCAAACCTAAATAATAACAGATGTTTTGGGGTTGTTTTTCAGGCAGATACTACGTCTCTCTCACTTGTGATATATTTTTTGCTTAGAAAACTGGTATTGAGAATATGTGGGTAGCAGAATCAAGTAATATACTGTCAGCCTTAGAGATTATTTGGTCCAAACCTTCCATTCAAAAATGAAGAAATTGAAAAGAGAATGGTTAACGTAATAACTCGTGGTCTCCCATTTTCAAAATTTTAAACTTTACATGTATAGGCATCTTAAAATTGTCACTTAATAAGTAATTACTTGTTTCCTGCCTTAGACCCAAGAATTGATTGATAGGCAAAGCAGATAATAGCTGAGGGATATTGGTATCTCAGCTTTAAGACTAGCTCTTGGGTGGTGTGAGCTGTAAAGTTAGACAGACCTGAATTTTTACCAGT